AGATTCTCCATGGTAATAAATTTGATTCTCTATGGAAATTAATTTGTCTGTATGTGTTTCTATTGAAGACATGTTTCTAATATTCCTATATACAGTAACATCATACCTCTTACACATGTACATATTGTCATTGTCCAGTGTCTCAGGCTTTATCATTCGCTCCAAGGCTTTAATAATAGACGGCACATGCTTTAAAAAACAAAGAAATCAATATAATCAAAGACCTGTTATGATTCAGTCAAGAAAAGCATTTTATATATTTACGTTCAAAGTGTCTAAGCGACGATGAATTCTAAATATTTTCTGAAAAACACCACCAGTAAAAGAATTGCAGTATTGAATAAGTGAATGACATATTTGACATCCCTGCAAACAAGGACACTCAATAAAAGTGTCAGTGTCATCACACCACATCAAGTTTGGTAGGGCCTGTGCAATGTATACAGCATAAATACACATTACCAAATTCTGCCGTAAATTCGCCCATAATTCACCCTGGGTGATTTCACGGCTGGTGGGCGCTTATTTGGGGCTCAAAATTTTAAAAAATTACCATCAAATATTTGGGGGGGGGGGCCTTATATTTTCATTGAAAAATCCATCTACGCCGACGCGACTTTCAACGCCGGCAATTGGACCACCCAAAACAAAAGTAACTATTGCAGAAGCTAATCTCAAATTTTATACATTTTTTCTTGCTGGATTAAAAAGTAGACCGCGCATCTTTCTCCAAAAAAATCACATTAACGAACCTCATGTGCCAAATACAATAATTTTTTTATTCATTTTATTAGTAACGAAAGCATATTCTAAAAGAAGTTTCAAATAAAAACGAACCCAACTGCATTGCTAAGTAGCAAATGATCGCGGTAGCGCAATCCGGTCATGCTGCGTCTCACAATTGTTGATTATTACCTAGTAAGTATTATAATAACGTGCAAATTTACGGCAGAATCCGGTATCATTACACTAACTCAAACAATGGAACAACAGTAACACTGCTTGAATTCTAATCACATCACTTTTTTTTTCAGGTTGTGCCCATTTGCCAAGAATATCATTTCGTGATTAACATTGTATGACTACTGTCAAATGTTATAGCAAGCAGTGTTTTGTGTTATCATATACCTTGTATTGCCCGGCCTCTTAATGCTATGGGAAGTGCACCCCCACATCAGGGCAATAATTTTCCATATCACGCCAGGCACAGCGCACCCGGCTTTCATCTTTCAAAACAAAATAAGTCATTCTAAATTATGTCAGGTGTTTGAGGTCACGCTGTGGTAAAATTGTAATTCCACCTATAAGGTGTATGATAACCTTTATATACTGGAAAGCCAAAACAAAACAAATTGCATATGTATGATATTATACATAACGTATATGTTTGAATGTAATCGGTTCAGACATGTTTAAGATACAGGTCACAAACACAGACAAACACACGCACAGAGGTCGATCAAGTTCGAACAGGAACTAAAATAAAAACATTTTTTTTCATTCCCTCACCCAGTCAAATTGTTGAACCAGGAAGATAAATGTCATATTTGATCTATTAGAAACACATGTGCTTGTGAAATTGACAGAGGTGAATCTATGCTCAAAATAAGACGTGTTCCAATTATTCAGCATAAAGCAAATGCACTCTTATTGGCGATGCGCTGATAATAGAGCAAATATGGTTATATTACTATTACAAAGATACTGTGGTTTCAGTACACAGATGCATTTTGTACCTCATACATGTATTATTACAAATATTTAGTATTTACCTTGATGTCTAAACTGATATCTAAGAAAGGATCATGAGTATCTGAAATCTCTTGACATTTATTACATTGCACTGGAAACAGAAAAAATATGAAATTTAATATTTGAAGAATACAAAACATGCATATCAAAACGTCTGATTTTAGATTTTAAGTCTGTTAATATGAATTTCAAGAATATGGCTCTGGAAAGATATTAATAAAAAGAAAAAATCAGCCATTATGTATTCAGTCTAAAAACATCAAGATCCCTTTATTTTTATTGTCTGTACCAAAGATTAACAAGATTTGGCTCTGGAAAATAATTTTGATTATTTTTAATATTGAGAGGGCTGTCATTCAATCATCCAATATTTCTTAGAAACAGGGACAAACAAACAAACAGATTGAGGTGAAACTACAAGTTCCAGTTTACAGACGTCTGAACGGGGATCAAAACTATTATGGGATGTGTAATTGTTATTACATATTATGGGATGATGAAACAAATGTATAGATTACCTCGACTTCTATAGTAACCACCAAATATTTGATGAACTAAAGTAGTTTCTTTGCTGTGTTTTTCTAATCTATGGAAGAAAGAAAGAATAATTACAATGCACACGATGGGTATTCACACCCTTGGAATTGAATGGACTGTACTGCATATCCTCGGGTGGACATCCAGGCATTTTCACCGCCTGGCAACCCTCGTGGTGAAAACAAAGGCCCAAAACTCGTAGAAAACGGTACTTTGGGATAACTGTTGAGACTCCTCTGAACAGTGTAACAAGATTAGCCCTACGTGTGTAACGTATATAAATTTGGCTGTTCGGGATTACTTCAAAGTTGAGTTTGTGTTGTTTTTTCGAATTTTCACCGGCTCGACCGGCCTTCCACAGCAGCACACACAGAGCCCATAGAAATGCATGTACAGTGGTGTGCGTCGTAGCAATGTGGAACGTCTTGTGACGTAGCTCCGCCCCCGAGGATACGTTAGCCCCAAACACAGAATTCAAATCTCTAGCTCAGCATGGTTACATAGATATGGTTTGACAAAATTATTGAATGCTGTAGAAGGCACAATGCTGCCTATTTTCAACATTCTACGTGCACCACTGTACTACGTATTTCAATGGGCTCTGTGCATGGAGCTGGTGAAAACGGCAAAAGTTGAGAAAACAGAACAAACTCAACTTTGAAGTAATCCTGAGCAAACAAATTTATATATGTTGCACATGTAGGAGTAAACTTGTTACTTGTTCAGGGGAGTCTCAACAACTAGCACAAAATACATTTTTGACAGTTTTTGATTGTTTTTTTACACTGGTTATGGTTGAAAATGCCCAGATGTAAGCTCTCAAGAATAGAGCCACTTATGTGAACAAAAATTGAAAGGAATGAGATGAGCACATACTTCTCATATCCAACGAGACAGGATTTCTGCATGGCCTCAGTAACACACCGTAGAAACTCGTGTGCATCTTCTTGGTGTCCATAACGGAACTGTTTACCAATGTCTGTACAGGTAAAGTAAATAAATGAATCACATACTGGTAAAAGAAAACCAATGCATGTATGGCAATATACATGTACTGTGTACATCTTTTATCTGCAGCCACAATTTACGCTATTTTTAAGTGTAAATATGTCAAGTCTGCAGATATTTTGAAACAAGGTAGCTAATCAGTTGTTCTCCTTTTACAACATCCATAGCTATTTGAATACTGTAATACTCTCTAAATGCTAGAAGGACTATTTTGAATGTCACGTTGTCACATTATAGTTTTGATCTGTGGTCGTCTGTTAGTAAAAAAAATAAGCATTTTTTTACAAATTTCAATGACACTGACATATATGGAAGCTGTTATGTCACAGAAGCATTTGGTTGATTTATTGGAAAGGCATTACATGATATTTTTTAGTGTAAAGTAAAGATTTGTTAAGACCATATATATAGACTTATTTATCATTCAGAAGCACAACTTACTCTTTATTTTTTGAATGATCACCATTGGTCTAATAGCAGAACCACATTGGTGGAATGCCCTGCCAGCATGGCGTTGTAACTCGCACATCATGCAAAAACCAGCTTCACGACCTTCAGAGAAATCAAATACATTGGTTGGTCTAACTGGTCTGGTAACCCAGGGTGTGTTGTGGTAGGTTTAACTGGGATGGTAAGGAAAGTGGAGTCACAGGTGGTATTATTATTGTTATATATAAATAGGTGATTTTCCGTTAAACTATGAGACCTCATGAGTTGCATGAAAGATGTGAGCTGAACGTCTGCCTCAAAAATCGGACAATTTTGAACTCAATCAATTTTGAACTCAAATTTCTTTATTTCAAAGATCACACTGAAAGGCCGATCTTTGACAGGGGAATATTGCGTTTGAATACCCTTACTTCATCGAAATTGACCATCATCAAATGTGTACAGCACATTATTAAGCATAAATATATCCCCAAAATATTTTGGCTAATGTCGAATGCCATGCGATGTTAGTTACCACTACGATGCTAAGACTTTTGTTTGTCCTGTTTTTACAGAACGGGAAATGGTCTATTGACTTACATGACTGTGAGTGCTGCTGGCTCAATAAATAGTTGGTTAAAGGAGGTGTGTAAGTCAGACACTGTAAGATGGAGTTCAAAAAACATGTATTTCCTAAGTTCATCAACCCAGCTCCAATTCTGTAAACTTTGTGCCAGCTTAGCCTAACTTTGTCAGGTTGAAACAGAGTTTGCCGGGGTTTAGGAATGCCATCACTTGCTTCTACTGCAGTTTTCTCATTACCAGTTCCCATTTTATTTCCTGAAATGAAATTACACTGATGAAGAACACAGTATAGAACGATGTGTGATTTTAACAAGGCTTTGATTTTCTGTAAATGGAATAATCTTTAGGTGTGGTTTTGTAATTTTCCCTTTCTTTTCACATTCCAGGTCACATGGACCAGTTGAGTGATCTGTTTTTTCCTCGTGTTTTTTTCTCCCTTTTGAATAAGGAGATAAAGAGCCTTATTTCTCATTTCTGTTTGTAATCAAACCCTTTCAAGTATCATTTGTGTTGTTACACATCCATCAAACTCGCACAGAATGAGATATCTTCATTGTGCATACCCTCATCTTGTAAGTCCTGGACAGTATGGACCAGAATAGAATTCTAGATTCTAACCCTAACACATTGCACATTAATAAAGTCTTTATCTATTCATAAATAAAGACCTCTATGGAAATCTACCACAAGTATCTGAAACAATCAGAAAACAAAGACTCAGACTAGCGGGACACTGCTTCAGACATAACGAACCAGCGTCCTCGGTGCTAATGTGGAAACCAGCCCATAGATAGATAAGACCTGGCAGGCCTTTTGATGACTACGTATCCGTGCTTCAAAAGAATACTGGTCTAAGCATTGAGGAACTAAAAGTTCTGATGAGGGACAAGGAATTGTGGAAGAAGCTGACCATGGAACCGGGTGCACCCGACTGATGATGATGATTTATTCATTACCTTTCTTTCTTCTTTGATCTGTTTCACCCTCAGTTAAATTACTTTTCTTTGGGTTCAATGATACATACTTGGTTCTCAGATTAGACAGACTATAGGAGAATGACTGTTCTGCTGGAGTGAAATCTATCTTACACAGTAAAACCTGTTTTGATGATGACACTATTCGCTGATCAAGACCATCTGGGATACTGTCTTTATTCTTAGAGCGATGACTTGATAGCTCTTTCTTCAGTGATACATCAATTGTCATTATTTTCTCTGCATTACGTACAATTTTAGCTGAAAAATGGAAAATTAAATTAATAAAATAAAATAAAAGGTTACAACATAGTACTTTAAGTTAACCTATTTTGAGTTGTACATAAACTATGCAATTCACTTTTCTTTCTAGGGCCTCAAAACATGACAGTACCACCATGCTTAATCATATACATGTGCTGGTATGCCATCATGGTATGATATCATAACTGTAAATACTGTAAAATACTTGTTGGGTGTTTTGAATGGAATTTATTTTTACTGATTTTGATGAGTTGAATGTAAAATATAGGAAAAAAGGTATATTCACTGGATTTTGTTTTCACTGAATCATTCCTTCAGCAAAATTAAATCCAAGTGAAAATAAAGTATTTTACAATACCATTCATGTGTATTTCTTTTGCGTACAGGAAGGCCAGGCCTCAGGTTGTTCTTGTATAGTGTCTATTTCTGCATGCATATTGGCAAATGAGAATATTTGGACATGCAGTCAGTCAGCAAGATGACTCAACTTTGCAAGACACTTGATGACACTGTTTGGACGGATAGCGTACTGTGATTGACTATTTTATGGGGATTATCAACATGATGATTTGCTAATCCAGTTTACAACAAGCATTGAGAATGTACAGTCCCAGTTCTGTATTAAATACAAAGTCCATCACTAGTAGAGATTCACAATTATAGGGATTATTTGTGGCTATAGTGATGCATTCTGTTATTGCAGAAAATATGTAATGGGTAAGCCAATGCCAGCATTATACTGAATTCAAACAAATATTGTGAGCTTTATCAATGAAAATTATGTTAAAACGACAAGTTTTAACTACTTCATGCAAAACTACTGAAATTGGATCAGACTGCGAAACAACAAAGTTGCAGGGCACATTTTATCTCTTAATATATTATATGTTTAGCAACAGAACTGGAATAGATATTTTTAGTGATTTTTACGTGAATATAGTACATTAGGCAATTCAACAAACCTGAACTGCAATTTATACAGCGCACCCCACACCAAGGTTGGATAAAACATCTATGTCTTTAATGTAAAGTCACATGGACATTTAAATCCTGAAATGAAGTCCGGAAAGCAGTCTAAGCACTGGACTAACTTATACATGTATCTTGTTGCTGCAAGTGTGTATACACGTGGCCGGTTAACAATTTTAGAAAAAAAGGGCTGTCAATTTGTCAAATTTGATCAAATCACAAAATAACAAAACTTAGGAGAACACAAAGTTTGAATAAAATCGACCAGTTCATCTCCGATAAACAGTTTTGGACACGTTTACAGATTTAACAATTTTAGACAAAATAGCCATACAACCCCCTGGTGGCAAGAGTTTCTTTTGTACAATGTACCCCCCATCCCTAACCCTAACACTCCCTCCCAGTTACCCAATTCATTTGTATATGCCCCCTCTAGATAACTAAATATGTCCTTAGGAGGGGCATATACAATTAAATGGGTAGGGGTAGGGTTATGGTTAGGGATGGGGGTACAAAAGGAACTATTTCCCCACTGGTTACACTATCGTTGTACCACATGGTCAGCAAATAGGAGTCGTCAACAGTGTCGTGACACATTGATTTTCAGAAAGCATGAATAAAAATGGAATGTCTAATTAAACAAAATATTGTATACTAGTTTATAAATAACAACCAATCAAGCAAAAATAAATTATAGTTCCCACTTCTATATATATTTCTGTGAAAATTTTGGATAAATGACCTGACAGGTGGAGGACATGTCATATGACTTGAATTCTGCTTTATGTGCACCAATTAAAAATGCAAATCATCAAAATGAAATATTGCATATTTATTCATTATTTGCTAATTAGGTTGATATTATATTGATAATTATCTATTGTTTAGAATGTTAGATTAATAACAGATAGGCCATGACTTGATCTAATATAATGCCGCCTTAAAAGATAGCCCAAGAATTTGGTCATATTAAGCCAGATTTCTGATAATTAATTCAGTTTTTAGATTCATACATCTTGAATCTTGACTATGTATGACCCAAGTCCAAGTCTTTCTTATATCGATCTAAAAACTTAATTATGAGAGAATTCCCAAATATCACAAATCTTGAAACTTAATTTGGTTTGGTTTCATAGTTAGATAATTATCCAATAATTAAAAAATAAGCTCTCTTTATGATCAAAATGGGGAGTTTACGATCTTCTCTTAACAAATTATCAACAAAATAAGAATCCCTATGTTTTCCATGTGATGTAGTACAGCACGATTCAAATCTATAATCAGCATGCACTCCGCTGTTTACAGATCCATCCAACTATAAACCAGTTATGTCCATGATCTACCTTTGACAACGTAATACATGCATACATTTGCTCTCAAATTGTTCTGCCCTAGAAAAACCGAATCGTCCAATCTTTACGAAAATAAATAAAACACATAAAAAAAAACATGTCCATGTGCGTAAATATAACGTGCGTGGTAAAGTATGGCAAACGGCTAGTACAACAGTATACTTAAAACGCTAACACGTGACAGGAACATTACTAGCATAAAACAAGACACTGACGAGCGAACAACTATATACCAATAATAACAAAGATATATTTTCAGTAGATACTCTATTCGATTATAACAGTTTACGGAGTATAGCATAAGCCCTCTAGTTTACCTATAAAACGGCATATAACTGTATTAAAATGGACATCTGCCATCAGCAAACCACTACACTGGCATTGCCACTGCCGGTCATACTACACAACGTTCGAGAAAATGTTAAAATCACAAATATTCTTGCGTAAAATACTTACAATAGCAACTGGTTAATTAGGAATAAACGTATTCTTCCGAGAATGAAAATTCAGATCCGCGAATTGACACAAATGGACCACAAAATAACTCACTGCCGGTAAAGTATCAATAGCGTCCCCATTTAGCTCCACCAGAAAAACACAGACATGGCTAACGTTGGGCGACATCCGGGTATCACAACCTTTATTAACTGTAATATCTACTGTGTCTAAAATATAACGATTTTATGTAGTATTAGAAAAGTTATAATAAACAGCAATATATAAATGTCATACACTCTTGACCGAATAATACAAAATAGCAATTTCGTGTTATCAAAGGTGCAACTTGTCTGCTTTTACGACCATACGAACGAGGGTGACCTCATTGACATATTCCCATAACTCCTTGCGCGACTGTGTAATGAGCTACTCACGATGGGCTTGTGTGCCTGTTCTATTTTGTCGTATTTACTTTTCGAAAAACGGTCTTTGTAATTACTTTGTAAGAAGTTATTTATTTATTTATTTATTTATTTATTTATTTATTTATTTATTATTGAGGACTTATGGGTTATATAATACAGATATTTGTTATTGTTATGTTTAATTAATAAGTTAGTAATTTAGTGAGTGACTATTTGGTAAAAAACTGATTTTAGAAAAATGTTACGTATCAGGAGAACACAAACCACGCCAAAGCATAACGAGTGTTTCTCGGAATTTTGTTTTACAGTTGGCACCCTGAAAAAAATGTATGACGATGAAGCTAAATGGTGTAGATCATTTAATTGCCTCCTGCCAGTGCGTATTAAGGTAGCGGAATAGTTTTTTGGGCACTTTTCACATTTTTTTTTGAAAATCACAAGCATAGCTCCATAAGGCATGCCACATACATTAGTGTATTTATTTTATTGAAAAAATAATATCTTGTACAAGTAAACTGGTTTTTTCCTTGTGTGCAAACAAATACCCAAGTTTTTTGTTTATCCAGTGTACACCCCATGAGTGCTTCTCATTAATATTCATGGTAACAAACATAACTGAACTGGGGCTAAGCTATTTACAAACAACTGATAAGATATCTGTTTGTAGTTTACACACAGCTGATAAGATGTGTGCACTGCTTCGTTTCAAGAGGAGGAAGCTGTACAGCAAAAACAAAAACAAAAAACATTTTCGAAACACAACAAAT